CATACTTGTGCTAGCACATGGTTTACGACAATAATCGAATAGCAGGATTCGAACCTCTGACCTCGTGATCGGAAATCCGTATCATTAACCATTAGGCTATTGACGTTTTCAAAATTTAACAGTATAATAAAATGTTCCAGATCCCGAGAGCGGGATCATCACGAGCCGTCAATCGCTGGATCGTGAGCGTCAGGCGGTGTACACCCTCGTGCTGGTGGTGACCGACCACGGCACTCCGCCGCAGCAAGCCAGCCGCATCGTCACCCTTACCATTGATGATGTTGATGACCATAAGCCGCACTTCCCTCGCACACTGGTTAGTCACCAATACCGGGAATCCTTGCATCCTCACATGGTATAAGGAAGCGAAGTTTAAAAAAAATCTAATTAGTAGCCTATATGTTCTTCAGACTATGTTCTACATCTATACCAAATAGGTAGATCCATAGAGCAGTTCTGAAGATATCTTCTAACAAATGTCTATCCATACATCCAAACATTCGCATTTGCTAAAAGATATTGCTTACTATTTACAGGATGACCCTCCAGTTTTGATGACAACAAAAGAAGAAGTGCCAGTAGGAACTGTGATAGGAAAACTGGAAGCCATAGATGAAGATATTGACGAAAATGCAGCCATCGACTACGCTATTACAGGTGCTTTTTTATTACTACCTATAACTATCTATCTCCCGTGACTCTGTCCGGTGCGTATTCAAAAAAAAAAGTAATCTTTGTGTTCTTCCAGAATACGTACATTTATGCCAAATTTCATCATATCCGTTGAGTCGTTCCGGAGATACTTTCTAACAAACATCCATCCATCCATCCCTCCATCTAAATTTTCGCATTTATAATAGTAGTAAGATTACTTGACAACTTTCAGAAATCTCATGTTATAATACGTTTTTCTAACAATTGCTAATTTCTTATATTTTCCATTGTCTTTGGCAGCCGGAAACGAGTTAGGCTTAGTGAAGTTAGAAAGGACCAACGAAAGCAAGGCGTTAATCAAAGCGGCTGCAAGATTAGACAGGGAGAAGACTTCCCGGGTGCTATTAACAATCAAGAGCTTCAAATATGGCACCTCTCCTGTACTCAATAAGAGCTATAATCGTTTGGTAAGTTGTCATTGGATTTAACTTTTCCTCACGCATAGTATCATGGGATACGTAATTTTAAAACTCTAATAAGAGACGTAATTTTCTGTAGAGCTGTTATGTTTTTATTAATTTTTACGGTTCCGTACCTCGGAAGGAAAAAAACGGAACCCTTATAGGATCACTTTGTTGTCCGTCCGTCTGTCTGTCAAGACCCTTTTTCTCAGGAACGCGTGAAGGTATCAAGCTGGAATTTATTGTATATTCTCCGCTTTATAGGAACTGTCTCTCTTTCTCTCTCTCTCTGTCTCTGTCTTCAGCCATATGACGGCTACTGTTCGTCTTGTGGGAACTGTTGGATATTATTTCTTTCTCCTTTTATATTTTCAGGACCCATCAGAAATCCAAGTGTTAGTAAAGATATTGGACATAGACGACCATTTACCGGAGTTCGGGAGCCAGAACCTGACTATAGGCGTGCGACTCAACGTGCCTGTAGATACAAAAATAGCAACAGTCAAAGCTACAGATAGAGACCCGGATGCTTTACCAATAGACTATAGTATCGTTAATATGAACTTTGAATCGCCGATCAAATGTAAATCTTTGAATAATTTAACAGATGTGATGCATCTAAACAATGCTACAGGGGAATTGAAAATAATGAAGAATTTGCTTCACTATGCGGATGGAATTTTCAGGTATATTGAAGTTGTATTTTCATGTAGAAAGAGACAATTCTTAAAAGGCCGCGCTATTAAAATGAAAAAAGAAATAGATATTTCATCTTAACTTTTTCGTTCGACAGATTGGTGATACGTGCCAACAATTCCCAAGAGGAAAATCGTTTCAGAGATTTATTGGTTGAGGTAAGGTTTTGTAATATTTGAAACTCAATTTTATTTGTATTTCTAATTAGTTTCTGAGACCAAAATCCCTGTCCATTATCATTGACACAAGAGATAACAATGGTTTTAACTAAGAATTTGGTTTCAGAAAGCCACGGATAGAGATTCTTATAAACAGAATTTAAGCAGACTTACTTCCATGCTTAGAGCCCCTACGCATGGAATATGAAACCGTTTAGTAACTGAATCTTTACCTTACACTGTCTTCCAATAAACTATTATAAAGTGACAATTAAGGATTTGAACCAACTGGAAATCTGAAAGATCAAGAAACCATTGCTGTAAGAAACCCTAATTTCCTAAGTAAATACTGAGTTATGTTTTCAGGTGGTAGTTGTAAGAGAAAGAGACCTGTTACGTTTAGCGGTGGCGAGTCGCGCCAAGCTGCCTGAGCTGCGCAAGAAGCTGAGCGATGTGCTCGAGACTAAGCAGCTCAGACTGCAGATGCACGACGCTCCGCATTCCACCTTCTATGACAATGCTGGGTGAGACATGTGTCTATTGCACCTGGTGTACATTATGCCAGTACAGTAGGACAGTAACGCTCGCTTGAACTGTTCTGGCTTACTGGCATAATGTAAATCAGCTACTAATAAAGATAGAATAGGATATATATCGGCATGTTAATAATTAAATTTTCATTAAATACGGACTTTTAAATTTCTAGAGTTAGAAAATAAATTAGTGTAATTTGCTGATCGTTATCGTCTTGGACGTTTCATGATTTTTTTTGTATTATACAATTACATTAAATTTGTGAGTTCATTTGCAGACCCTGTTTCCAATTCCGTAAAATGGAGAGTGGCGAGGCGCTGACGCCGCAAGCCATGAAGGCGGCGATACGTCAGCTGGGGACGGAGATGCAGCAGATCCTGGAGGCGTACGATGTGCGCAACATCACCAGCTGCGGCACCACGCGCACGCGGCACTCCTTCGCGCAGCACGCGCTGCTCAGCCTGGCCGGACTGCTGCTCTTCTCCGCGCTGCTCTCCACCTGCATCCTCTGCAACCTGCATTCTGAAGGTTAGCACACAGATAAATAACAACCGAGAAGCGTCGATTGCTCAGGTGTTAAGCACTTTGCTGGTTATCTGCATGTCCTAGGTTCCAATCTCGCCATGTACCATTTTTTTTTCAAATTACATATGTATAATTATTTGACGTTTTTACGGATTAGGATTAGGTGTCATGGTGCATCTGCACATATTTGCGATGAAATTCAAAGATATGTGTGAGGTCAACCCTTAGTGGGCCGGTGTGGATGGCTATGGCCTTGTTGCCACTGACTTAGGATAAGCTCCGAGCCTCTCAATGGGGACGTTTAGTGGGCCGATGATGATGAGACCCAGCTGGCAGTACTTAGCGTACTTTTCATAGACTCAGTTTAGCTAAAGACAGTACAGTAACAGTCTTATTGTAGTGGCTCATTTACTATTATCTTTTTTTTCTGTTTATTTTAGTGGTGTGTTTCCATTTTGGTTTTCATTTCTAACTCATCTGGTTTATCAACTTCCTTTCTTTCATATGAGTATTGAATGACTTGATTATTACGGAATAAAACATAGTATTGGTTGAATCTTTTCTAATTTATTATTGTTTCGAATAGCTAAGAAACGTGCACGCAACGGATTATTGAACGCAAGAGAGGCGGCAAGTCACGAGTCAGCGCCTTCAAGACTATACGCTGAACCACTTTACTCTATTTAAGAATAACTACGTGCCTGAATTTAACTTTTAAGAGAAAATACAATTAAGAATGACGCAATAACATACAAAAGTGATGTGTAATTATTTAACTGAAGTGAAAGCTGATGTAAAAAGTAATAAATCTAATATTTAAGTTTGATGTTATTGATGCATAGAAAACAAATATTCACCTCTTTACATTCGTCTTTGTTTCAGTTCAATTAATAATACAAAATCTACGGATTACTACTTATCGTGCGTTTTTGAGACCACAATCTCCGTTTAAAACATCTTCATCCCTGTCATTATCTTTGACAAAACAGAGATAGCGATATCTTTAAACGGAGATTTATCACAAAATTCTACATCACTGCCATTATTTATTTTAGTATGCATTGTGCAATAATAACATATTCTAACATCTTATACTCCTTTATATTTCTAAAGACACATCTAAATCTGTTTTTAGTTAATAATTAATGCCTGGATTTGTCCCTTAACGAATGTATAATTGTAAGGAAAGCTACCAAAAATATATTCACTTTTCTATAAAAAAAAAAAAAACAAATGAAGGTTTGTTATTTTTATCTATGGTTCATTGAATATTTAATTAATAGCGTATTCAACTAATCTCCAGATTTCAATTCCAATTGTGTAACCAAATTCTACAGTTTACGATATTCTCTTTTTAAAGGAATCATGACGTCGAGTCGATATTTGTAAAGAAAAATATACGTGATATAAAACATAAAAGATTTTCTAGTTCCTGAGTATATTCAAAATGACTGAGTCAACAGTTTCTTACAATTCTTTTGAACAAACCCTGATGTGACCATAACTAGTGAGATAATTATTCTGTTTTAATATTAAGTTATAATAAAATATTATAAAATTATCGAGATATTTTGAGTTTTTTTTAGTTTTGTACATAAAATAAATTATTTATGTTTTAAATATTTGTTTCATTTTAACTCCGAAATTTTCAACTTACGCATTAAATTACTCATTTACGTGATCACCATTACCGCGAAATATGTTGGTTGTCAAAGATTTTCCCGCCAAATGATGCAATATATCTGACAGATTGTTTTACACCAGTAAATTGTCTATGGTTCACTCTCAAAGTATTATTCATTTAATATTAGTAAAATAATTATCATACAAACCACTAAACAACATTTTAATGTCATGCTTTGGATTTTTCGATGTATTTTTCCATAAATAAATGGAGTATTTTTTATCTGTATTTTAGTGACGTCAAATGGAAGAGAAGTTGGTTTTGTATTTTCATTACACTCAACACTCATACACAATCAAATACGTTTCGTGATTGGACGTTACATTCAATTTGTTTTATTTTTTAAAATGATTTATGATGTTTTAGTAAAGTTTTTATTTATACTAATTATGGTACGATATTGTGAGTGTGACACGCCACCAAATAACGCGGCGATAAGTGATAATGTGAGTTGACAGTTTTTATTTAATTTTATATATAATAATGACCTTGAAAGCTGTGTGGAAAAGACAATGACCTCATAGCCTGTATATCTATATGAACGATTTGTTTATATCTGTATTTAAGATTGCAATAAAGTGCAAAGATAATAAAATAAGTATTTATAAATTTATTAAACTTAGTAACTAATATTTATAAACTTATTAACTAAGATAACGTACCAACTTTATCATTAAATTGGTACGATTCGACGGTATGACGGGTAATAGTATAAAGTTTTTTCAAGATGTTTGTAATTAGTAAATCGCACTGGGTTTCATCAATAAAAAGATCTCTGGTCTAATAAAGTTGGCAATCCCTGCTCTAAATCGTCTGAGTGGTTATTACTAAAAATTCTAAAGTTACGAAGAATTTTTTTAAGAAAATTTTAGTAAACTGGAATGAAACTATGCAGATTAGTTAGAATTGAATATACTATAATATTTACAGATTATAATTTTTAAAGCAACTATTTTTTTATGTTTATAGATATTACGCTACCCAACGTGTACCGTTATCTGTGTCTCGCTTATCTTAATAGAGAGTTTTGATGCAAATATATAATACAAAGATGTATAAAGTGACGAAGTGTGATCGTTTGTCACTTAGGTTCAATAAAAGAAATAACGGGGGTCAATCAGATGCACCGTAAGCCATGACATTCAATACACCTAGACCCGGATATGAACTATTTGTCGGTGCACAAATAATCGACTTGGTGTTTGAACCTATCATAGTCAATTCCAATCGCACAGTCAACAACATTGTTGCTAATATTACCTGAAGGATCATTGAATAATATGCCTTGATATACCAATTCGAAGAGACTATCAATGAAAACCATGCATTTCCAACTTTAAAATTCGTATTACGTCAGGAAATCATCACTCGACATGCTAAAGGTTATTGACTTATGAACAGCTGTCTCAGTTTTTATCATTTGTTTATTTGTAGATATATCCTATAGTCGCAGTGAAAACAGGAAAATTAAGAGGAACTGTTGCGACACTACTTGATGGATCTACATATTATAGTTTTAAAGGTATCCCGTATGCCAAAGCACCTTCTAAAGAGCGAAGATTTCAGGTAAGTAGCTAACAATTTGATACTAAATAAATGGTAGGAAAAATCTTTTGTATAACGGTAAAACTCCGTTGAAATCGGATCAACAAAATGTTTAAAGTTAATGAAAACTAACACTAAGAAGTGATTATAACTGTCATCAGTCCTTATCACCACAATGTTGCGTGCTTAATTCGTAATTGTTTTAGGCTCCACTTCCACCGGAGTCTTGGGGAGAAATCCGCGACGCAATCGATCACGGTCCAGTTTGTCCACAATATGATAATCCTGATCTGATAGAGGGCAGTGAAGACTGTTTATTCGTAAATGTTTACACCAAGAGTCTTGACCCTAAAGCTAATATCCCAGTTATGGTTTACATTCACGGTGGTAGCTACAGTTCTGGTTCGGGCAATAATGACACTTATAACCCAGATTTTTTGATACAACATGATGTAATCTTAGTGACTATAAACTACAGACTGGAGTTATTAGGATTTTTATGTCTCGATACTCCCGAGGTTCCAGGCAATGCCGGTATGAAAGATCAAGTTTTCGCTTTACGCTGGGTACAGGATAACATAGCGCAGTTCGGTGGTAATCCAAACAGTGTCACCATCTTTGGCGAAAGTTCTGGTGCGAGTTCTGTTACTTACCACATGTTATCGCCAATGTCCAAAGGATTATTTCATAGAGTTATCGCTCAAAGTGGAACCGCTATCCACGATTGGACAATAGGTAGAGATTCCAAAGAAAGAGCATTCAAAGCAGCCAAAGTTTTAGGAAAAAATACGGGAAATACTAAAGAATTGTTAGACTTCTTTCGTAGCTTGAAACCAATACAGCTTGCTAATTTAACCGAAAGAACATTATCATACGACGAGAGATATAGAGGATTACAAGAAACATTTGTTCCTGTCATTGAAACTAAATTTAAAGGTGTAGAAGCATTTTTAGATAAAAGTCCCGTTGAAATGCTCGCAAAAGGAAAGGTGCGATCCAAAGTACCAATAATGATCGGTTACAATTCTGCAGAAGGTTTGATAATTGTTGACGATCGTGTAAATAACATTGAGGTTTATAACAAAAATCCTTCCTTCTTCGTTCCAAAAGAAATAGAAGAGATGGTATCTGAAGAATCATTAACAGAATTTGGCAACAGAGCAAAAAGTTTTTACTTCGGACTTAATAACATAACAAAAGATGAACCACAAACAATTGAAATGATTAATAGCGATATATTTTTCATTTATAATACCCATAGATTTGCTCACCTCTACGCCTCAAACAATCAACCCATATACATGTACAGATTTAATTACGATACAGAGCTTAATATCATAAAAATATATTCAAAATATAACTTTTTGAAAGGCGCCTGTCATGCTGATGATCTATTCTACATCTTCTACAATTCTTTTAATAAGAAAGCTTACGAACAACAAGAGAGGCTAAGAAAAATTGTTTTTGACATAACCGCACTATGGGCTAATTTCGCAAAAACAGGGTGAGTTTTACGATTAATTTTTCAATGCTAGATTAGCTAGCTTAGTTATCATTGCCGTTACATTTAAAAATTTAAAAAAGAATGTACTTATATTTTAAAATATTTTCTATATAAAATGTTCATGTTCCTTAAGTTCATAGTACAAAATGAATTGTTTTTTAAACGTTTTGTACCACTGCAATTTCTTATCTTTACATGTTCTTTGTTATTTCCTATCAACCATTTTAAACCTATTTAGAACAACGATCTGATAAACACTGTGGATGCACCGGACATTGTCATTACGTTTATGTCTCTAGATATTTCTAAAATTAAAGCAAGTATTGAAGCGAGGATTTTAAAAGATGGAGAAATGAGTTCATTGATGTAAATTTGCTTCTACAAATCAAACTAATTTTGTAATTATTGGATCTTAGTAATAAAAGCTATAGAATTTATAAACTAGATTGACATATCTGTGTAATTTAATGTAGCTCAAACCGCTTGACCGAATTTAAAATATAAGTTGCCACAAAATTCGTATTCTTTCTTGGAGTAACGTATTATATCAGGGTAATAGAACTAACGATCATAATATAATGTATCTTTACAGTAATCCGACGCCTGATAACAGTTGGAAGCCATTTACGCGGCAGGGTAAAGAATATTTGAAATTAGAAGAAAACAGACGGATGGGGAAGTTCGCGGAAAAAGACCGGGTGAAATTCTGGAACCAAATCTACAAAGAGGCGAATCTTCCTTACATTGTTAATACTGATTAAAATTAAAAACACATGAAATAAATCTCATTTAATTATATTTTAATTTATCATAATTCGAGTTTTATTTATACACTGTAACTTTAAGAAATGTTTCTATTTTATAATCAAAATTGTTGTATTTGACAACCCTATATATTGGATCGTATGAATGATTCATATATAATAGTAAATATAAAACTATAAGAAACATGAACCTTCACGCATTGCATTACGTCTGGGACCGCAGAAGAATGCTAACGTGCAATACAATAAGGATAATGAAATCACAGGTGGTTCTTGTCTTAACATGTTTATTAGTGACATGTTTAGCCCAGCATAACAATACAAATGAAGTAAGTTACATTTTATTTCATATATCTTACTAATATTATAAATGCGAATGCTGAGATGGATGGATATTCGTTGGAAGATATCTCTGGAACGTCTGAACGGATTTCACTGATATTTGCCATTGATGTAAAACATAGTCTGGAAGAACACATAGGGCTACTTGTAAAGTTTTTTTTTAATTCCGCGCAGACGGAGTTCGTGACGACAGCTCGTCACTAATAAATCTAAAAATTAACCCCACAAAACGCACATAAAACTAAAATATTATCACTTCCGTCTAGTAACCCACAGATCACTTTTCAACGGTAATGTATCGCCGTTGAAAACTGGTATTGCTTAAAGTGTTTTGTTGCTAATATCAACTCCTAATATCAACTAGTATATTTCAAAAGTCAAAAATATCTTAAGTACCGCATTAATTTAATGAAAATTTACTTAATTCCTTTTCTTCAGAGAAATCCAATTGTAACTGTTAGAGAGGGTAAGTTAAGAGGAATAGTGGCTACACTTTTGGATGGTACATCATATTATCGTTTCAAAGGAGTGCCCTATGCTTTGCCACCGTTCGGGGAATTAAGGTTTCAGGTAATTTTCTTTAATATTCTTTTGAGTAGAATTGATTTTCTAATTTTCTTTGTAATATAGTGTTAATTATACTACATCATACCATTTCGTATTCTAGTCTATGAAATTTTAAATTATTATCCAATTTTAGGCACCATTGCCGCCAAGAAAATGGGACGGTATCCGCGACGCGATCGAACATGGTCCCGTTTGCACTCAGTACGACTTATCAATATCGCAAATTGTGGAAGGCAGTGAAGACTGTTTATTTGTGAACATCTACACCAAGTCTTTACGATCGGATGCTAAAATTCCAGTCATGGTATTCATTCACGGCGGCAGTTACAGTTTCAATTCTGGCAATTCTCAAACTTTCAGTCCTGATTTGTTTCTAAGACATAATGTAATATTAGTTACAATGAATTATCGCTTAGAACTATTAGGGTATTTGTCTTTAGACACTCCCGAAGTTCCAGGTAATGCTGGAATGAAAGATCAAGTAGCCGCATTACGTTGGATTAAAGACAATATTGCACATTTTGGAGGCGATCCTAATAGCATAACTCTTTTCGGGGAGAGTTCCGGTGGGAGTTCGGTTACTTCACATCTTCTTTCACCAATGTCCAAAGGTTTATTTCATAGAGCTATTGTAGAGAGTGGCACTTGCATTCAAGATTGGGCAAACGACAGAAATGGAAAAGAAAGAGCATTTAGAGCTGGAAAACTTTTAGGAAAAGAAACCAATGACACAAACGAACTGTTACAATTCTTGCGTAGTCTCAAACCAACTCTTCTTACAAACCTTGCTCAGAAGACTATGACGACAGAAGAGACTTGGAGAGGATTACCGGATTACTTCGTACCAATAGTCGAAAAGAAATTCGCAGGTGTAACAGCTTTTATTGACGAAGAACCGGTGAATATTCTAGCTAAAGGTAAAGTGAACAAAGTTCCTCTCATGATCGGTTACAATTCAGCCGAAGGTTTGACGCTGATTCCTTTCTTATTACCGAAACTTGGCTTTTATAATGAAAATCCAACGTACCACGTACAAAGAGAAATCGCAGAAAAAGTGTCAGCGGAGAAACTAAGAGAATTTGGAGAGAGAATCAAACGAATATACTTGGGCAATAAGAATTTGACAAAAGACGATCCACAAGCTATCGAGCGTCTTGGAAGCGACATTCATTTCTTTTATAACACTCATCGATTTGCGCATTTATATAGTTCCGTAGTCAAATCGGTTTACATGTATAGATTTAATTATGACACAGACTTAAATATTTTAAAGAAATTCACCGGATATACAGAATTAGAAGGCGCAAGTCATGGCGATGAACTTTTCTATTTGTTCTACAACTTTTTGAACAAGAAACCGTACGACGAACAAGAAAAACTAAGACTGCTGGCTCTTAAAATGACAACTTTATGGACTAATTTCGCTAAAAACGGGTAAGTAAATGTATTGCTACTCAATTATTAGACATAATGAGTAAAATAACTAAGTTTTAGACAAAAATTATAGATTGTAATAACATTAGATGCAGTGTAAAGGAAAAATATCTCATCGTTTATTTTACCTCTCTTCGAGCTTCATTTGTTAATTACCGTGACATTTAATTAACTAGAAAATTAATTGATATCTCATTTACTAGGATCAATTAAGTGTTAAATACTTAGAAAAACCCAATTATAAGGAAAACTTTAGGAAAAATATTAAAATTGTTTTAAATTAGGTTAATGAAAATCGTGACGTATGATTGTTTTCAAATTATTTATACCGGTCATTACAAGGGTTTTTTCATGTTCGAATTTGATAAATTCCTAATCGAAACTTACCAATTCGTATTATTAGGTTTTCTTAAGTAATGACTGAATGAAATAAAGAATATGTTTTTTTTTGCGTTCTTTTCAAAACTCTATAGGCATTTATGTATACGTAGTAACAAGTATGTTATCTACATAAAGTTGTTTGTGAATTGAGTCTTAATAAGTATTGAGACGTTTTTCCTCATGACCAAGTGGGAACAGGAAAACGAGTGGAAAGCCGTGAGTTTTGTATCATCTGGTAATTTTTTGAGTCATGCGTTACATTGACTCATATCAAAGTGTTGTTACGAATATTCTTTGTCCTAGAAATGAGATAAGAACATTAATAAAGTTTGTTTTTATAAAATTCACTTGAATATATTAGTTTGTTATTGCTTATTTCATAGCAGCTAGTCATGTACTAGTGTCGTTTATTCTATTTCCATTGTCGCAAAAAGCAGTGCGATTAAATCGGTGGAAGTGGACTTTTAAGGTAAATGAACTTTGCGATTAGTGGCATAAATACAATTGTTTAGAAGTGTCTTACTACCGATTATATATTCGTAACAGGATACAAAAAATAATTATAGTATTTTTAACGGGTTTTAATTATATTTTTTTAGGAATCCGACGCCTGATGATAGTATGGGCGCGAAATGGTTACCCTACACAAGACGTGGTAAAGAATTCTTTAAGATTGAAGATACATTGTCTATGGGAAACTATGCCAATGGAGAGAGGATGAACTTCTGGAACGAATTGTACAAGGAATCCGGGGTCCCTTTTATCAATGATAATTGTTAATCATGTTGTATAAAAAAATATTTAATTCCCAATAAATATTTACATCGCAATTTAGTTTTTTTTCATCAATGCCTCCCACTAAGTAATTATTACATTCGAAGACATTATAGATAAACTTTCACAGTTCTGTTATTAGCTGTAAGCAATTTTAGATCTGCATATGTAACGTGAAAATATAACAACACTTATGTGCCAAAGATACACGACAGGGCTTCGTCCATAATTATTTTTACATTATTAGATGTAGCTACTTTTTCAGACGTATAACTAAGTTTTTTCTTATAAAGTAGTTAAGTTTATAAACAAACGTATGCTAAAATCTTTCCATCTTATTAATATTATAAATACGAATGTTAAGATTGATGGATAAGTGGATGTTTGTTTAAAGGTATCTCGCTATAATCGCACAGATGTAGAACAAAGTCTGAAAGAAATTTAGCACGGCCGGAGTCGCGGGCGACAGCTAGTTTTCCAATAACTGCGATTATTGGGTATTTATATTTTTAAATATAATAAACCATTTAGGGTCATAACTGCTCAACATTGAGACTACGTGAAAGTATTCAGTTGTTTTAATAGTATTTTAATTCAATTGCCAACCCTAGCACAAGACAATATTTTGCGCGTCGTTTTATACATTGCGAATATAAACTGTTTCAGTGTGCCATTGGTCTCAGTGACGCATTGTCCAGTGCGGCGTAAACAAGTCTACTAATTTTCTGTTTTTTTTTTTTCAATTTAAATTTCGAACATCATTATAAAACTTATCTTTGCAGCCATTTACATGTTAATATAATAAGCAATGGTGAGTTACAAGACCATTGTTCTTGTTGTATGTTTGTTATCAGAATGTTGTTCGAGTAAAAAACTAAAAAGGCATGATAATCAAGTAAGTTGAATTGCTTTTATAATAATACATTTAATTCATATTCGATAGCAAGAAAATTAAAATTAGTAAAAATATTTTAAAACTACCGAGAATTTAGGTAGTGTTCGAAATGACAAGCAAAAATGTCGACAAAACTATTGGAAATAACCTAACCCTTGGAATGAAATTATGAAGCTGAACTAAATACACAAGTTAAATAAACATTTTTGTATTTTCTACAAAATTTCTTCTAATTTAGAAGGTTAATTTTCAAATGTCCTTTTGTAATGCTTCCCTCCATAATACCAGAAATCTTTGCAAAACTCCAAGTGAATAGTTAAAGTACATTGCCAAATGTCGTTTTCTACTTTTATAGATATAAATTATTATTTTTTTCAAGGAAAGCCCTATTGTACAAGTAAGAGAGGGCTCATTGAGAGGTTATGTGGCTACAGCGGTGGATGGATCTACATATTACAGTTTTAAGGGTATCCCATATGCTCAAGCACCGACAGGCGATGCCAGATTCCAGGTAATCTTTTAAAATAGTCTTATAAATACATACCACGAAAATACCCAGTTGTTTTTTTATCGAGACAACCAGTTCGACCTTTAAAACCGCATTAGAAATTTTCCTCATATTACATCATAATATCGATTTAATAGATCAGAGTACTTAATTAAAACAGTTTTAATTCATCCATAGCTAATTATGAATTTGTCTTACATTCTTCTTCTTTTTCTTCCAGTGCCTCTTCAGTCTTGAAGGTTGGCCGCTAACTTGGAATATTTGTTCCTGTCAAGTGCAAGGCAAAATAGTGTCCTATGTTAGTTACTGTTTAATTTCACACCCTTTCTTTTCCAGGCACCTCTACCACCAAGTCATTGGAAAGGTGTTCGCGATGCAACACAACACGGCCCAATCTGCACCCAGTACGATCTATCCATTAACCAACTAATTGTCGGCAGCGAGGAATGTCTCTTCGTAAATATTTACACTAAATCTTTAAATCCAAATTCCAAAATACCAGTTATGGTATTTATACATGGTGGTAGTTATAGCTACAATTCGGGCAATTCGGAAACTTTCAGTCCGGACTTGTTAATACGTCACGATGTCATTCTAGCTACTATTAACTACCGCTTGGAACTTCTCGGATTCCTATGTTTAGACTCACCTGAAGTACCTGGTAATGGTGGAATGAAAGATCAAGCTGCTGCCCTTAGATGGATTAAAAACAATATTGCTAATTTTGGCGGAGATCCTGATAATATAACAATATTCGGAGAAAGTTCAGGCGCGAGTTCGGTCACCTCCCATATGCTATCGCCATTATCTAAAGGTCTCTTCAACAAGGTTATAGCACAAAGTGGCACCGTCATACATGACTGGGCTATCGACAGAAATGCAAAAGAACGGGCCTTCAGAGCTGGAAAACTTTTAGGAATCGATACTAATAATTCTGACGAATTATTGTCATATTTACGTGGTTTAAATGCCACTCTTCTTACGAATCTTGCACAAAAAACCATGACATTTGATGAAACATATAGAGGGCTACCTGATTATTTTATTCCTGTAATTGAAAAGAAGTTTAAAGGCGTTAAAGCTTTTATGAATGAGGAGCCGCTTCAAACACTATTAGAAGGCAAAGCTGCTGAAGTACCACTGATGATTGGATATAACTCCGCAGAAGATTTAGTCCTCATAAATTATTTAGCTGACAAATTAGACGTATACAACAGAGACCCATCTTATTTTATCACAAGAGAACTAGCGAGTAATGTAAATGATGCAAAACTTAAAGAATACGGGGAAAGGTTAAGACAATTTTATGTGAATGGAAGAAATTTGACGAGAAATGATGCGGAAATTATTGAAAATATCGGTAGCGATATTCATTTCTTTTACAACACGCATCGATTTGCTAATCTATACAGCGAGTATGGAAAACCAGTCTACATGTACAGATTCAACTATGATACTGACCTTAATATCATCAAGAATTTTACTGGATATGCCCATCTCAAGGGCGCATGTCATGCCGATGAACTTTTCTATATGTTCTACAATTTTTTGAATAAAAAACCTTACGATGAACAAGCTAGATTACGAGAATTGGCACTTAAAGTTACAACACTATGGACTAATTTTGCTAAATTTGGGTAAGAAACAATCATTTTTCTCACATGGTATGTTAAATATCGAAATATTATTTAAATAAACAATAATTTTTCTTTTTCCACAGCAATCCTACGCCTGACCAAAGTTTAGGTGTCAAATGGCAACCATACACCGCACATGGTAAAGAATATCTGAAGATAGAAGACAACATGGCGATGGGGCATTACGCAGACAAGGAACGAATGAAATTCTGGGACAAATTGTACAAGGAAACTTGCCTTCCTCATATCGGCTAATATTTAAGAAAAAATACAAAAGTGGAAAATTGCATAAATTGAATTATTAACTACTGTTTTTTTTTTGTTTTAAATAAATAACTGGAATGTAAAGGTAGTGGAATCACGAGGTTAAAGTCACAAAAACAACTAATACAACAAAGTCAAAGAGTATAAAAGTGGTCCAAAAATTTTGAATTACTTGAAACCATAGATTTACCTAGAATGAGACACAATAATTTATTATTGTTTATAGGTTCTAAGACTACCAACTTATAATGTAGGTAAAGATAACTATTTCTACAAGACCCTTTTGTATTGCTATGATTAATGTTATATTTTTTAAGTGTCATCTACTTTTTATCTATCGCGGAGATGGCTACAAATATTTGTTGTAACTTATAGTGTAAATATAAAGGGTCGTTATTCTTATACCAAAATACCCTCAATATTGTATAGTAGGAATACAAAGTACGCGCCTCGGGCAAAAAACGTCACGCGACGCAATAACGGCCCGAACAAACATTTTGCGAGGAGTCAGATAAACTGAGGGCATGGGTTTTTTTGCTTTGTTGTCCTTTGGAGGATGTCCTATGCGAAATACTTCGTTAATAATTATGATTGGTTACACTTTTTAATATTTCATTGTTACTTTTATAAGAATATCATAAAAACATTTCATTCGTGCCCCTTGATTTTATGAACTAATTCCCTTAATGTTTTTAATAAAAAATGCCTCTATTACGTCATGTCTGCATAAACTTGTCAGGTAGTACTTCTTTCGATCTTTGACTTTAAGCGACATAGAGCTATATTTTAAATAAGTTTTAAAACCTTCCTTAACGGCTTATTATTTCATAGCTAGATTATTTAATGTCATATCCTTTGCTTGTTCAAATAAGCAATCTTTTATATCAAGTACTATCGGTCGCACCCAACTCCGTCCGCTCCGTCCGTGGAATTAAAAAAAAAAACATAATTAGTAGCCTATGTTCTTCCAGACTATGTTCTATATGAATGCTAAATTACATCGAGATCCGTTAACCCGTTCTGGAGATACCTTTAAACAAACATCCATCTATCCATTCATCTAAAAAGTATAGTATAATGTCGATAGATTTTGTTTGTAGAACATTGATTTTATTTAAAATATAGGACAATATATTCGAGTTGACATCAATAACCAAATGAAAATGTATCCATTTTATTTGCTCCACTAATTCGCTTTTGGAAAAGCACTATGAGCTTTTGTACGTGCGTCATGTTTGAACTGGCTCTGCTCGCTTGTTAATGAATATTTCAAAGCCTAAATTAAAATAAACGTTTGAGGTGCTTGTTTTGTTTGTATCGTTTGAATACTATATGCGATTCGCGTAAACAAACTATACTTTTAACAAATTTATGTTCAGTAATGGTTTTGGCTCTACTAGCGCCCTGGGCGAGATTTTGACGGCGCCCTTTTTTGTTATATTTTTGGGGGGAAAGGTTAATAGAATTATATAAGGCTGTACAAATTGCACACATACGGCGCCACTCACTGTGTAGCGCCCTGGGCAGTCGCCCAACCGCGCCCTATCCTAACGCCAGCCCTGTTTAAATTTTATAACAAGATTGAAGAATGTGAATGAAGGACTCTTGGGATTTTGGTGATAAGTAGACATTCCTACATACATATAGAGTGTTGTTTTAAATCTTATAGCAATCATAAATATTTAAAAAAATCATGTAATTCATCTAATCCCAAAAAGCGATAGCTATGTTCACTGTTGCAAAAGATTTTTTTTATCGTAAACACACCGTTACTGTAGGTTACAGTTTACACTCTATTGACGTGTAATTAGGTCAATTTAATATAATGCAGTTTTGTGATATTAGTTTTGCATATTTAGTGACACTTTGTTTTAATTAATTAAAACTCTATAATACATTGTAAATCACAAATATAAAAAAAATCCGTTTTCGAGAAAAAGTGATCCTATAAGTTTCGTTTTTATTTCGAGGTACGGAACCCTAAAAATCCATAAGTTTTAACACAGTAAATGTGTTTATTTCATTATGCGTTTATCGAAAGTCTGTTGGATATAAAATACAGAATGAGAATGGAAGACAATCCGGTACAGTCGCGCTCATAAATGTCTAGATCTGCCACGTAAATGTTGCCACGAATTCATTATGAATCCCCCTGTAAAGGCATAAGCCCCACTCTTCACTTAATAAATCGTATATCAAGAACTGTCGTCATTTTTTCTTAGACTTTATTAGTTGCATCATGATTTCTTTTGTGCCAGACACTATTTTTTCTCACTTGTCTACTAGCTGTCGCCCGCGACTCCGTCCGCGCGATATTAAAATAAAAATATATGAAAAGTAGCCCAAGTGTTCTTCCAGATTATGTTCAACAACTATGCCAAATTTCAGCGAGATCCGTTGAACCGTTCCTGAGATACATTCAAACAAACATCCATCCATCTAATCATTCGCATTTATAATAATAAGATATAGTAAGAGTAACATAGCAACCTCTTGTAGCCTAACCAGCTTGACAGATTTTGTAGAGTAAATTACCTTTCAGTCATAATGGCATAGTCCACAAGTTTTTTTTTTAAATCGTTCGATTGTGATTGAGTTCCCAAATAACTCTCACTTGTTATACGACAATTGAATATAATTTAATTAATATATTACTTAATTAATTTTAAACCATGAATGGGTTGATTCATTGTTTGTGCAAACAACATTTAATAAGGTAATTTTATTAAGCAATCAATTTGGAACGACAATTGGGAACGAATGGTCCCTACCTGATTTTATACAGCGCGGGCAACTGTTTGTCTTTGTCGAAATGTTATTTACCTTCGCTTTCCGGCCGCGTTATTGGAAATTATAATGTAATAACACGTAGGTCACGCGAATCTCTTTGTAGATGAAATTTTATTATAATCTTCATCAGTTACGCGACAAACATTTATGATGGATGTAAGTCAATATAGATTACCTTAAAGTGTTAAAGCCGCAATACACGGTCGGTGTACGGCCCGATACATTTTTAAATGCGGTCCCTGTATGGATAACGTCAATGCTGATCGTCTAGCGCTGAACTCTTAATAAATTGTAATTGTTGAAGCTGTCGGTGGAAACTGCTTGTAGCAATCCTTATATGACCGTTCTTAAGTTTTTCAAAGAAGGACATGAATATTTCACAATGTGCCAACGACATGTAATGGATTATTCGATCACGTAGGCGTGTGATTGAATCACGCCATTCGGCTATTGTGAGCCTAGCACATGCCTAGAGTTTATCAGGAATTGTTGAAGTAAATGTTAATAAGCTTTCAAATAATCTGCTAATATTTAAATGAACGTGAAACTGATCCGACCATGTTGTAAACATTTTATCGTTCAACCGCGCAGCTGTAACGATGCGATGCGTATCTCGCTGTTGTGAATAAAAAGTTGATGAAAGACCATAACAGTGGTACTAAAATGTCAAATAAAATTATACGTAATGGAAGAAAATGTTGCATTTATTAAATTTATTTTTAATAATAGTGGGCTAAGAAACTTAAGACTATTTTTTTAATAGGAAAGTTTAATCTCTGGTTTGCCATTTAAATTTATATATTACTTTTAGACATTATTGGTTAGAATGCTTTGGTGTGAATGGCGCGCTTTCATTACCAAACCAAGTGTCGGAATGATTAGTGCGGGGACATAAACGTTGACATTTTAATAAGGCTAGTGTTGCCGTAAGTCCGATACACCGGCAAGTGTCGGATTTTCTTCCTAACACTACTTAGGACTTGGTCCGTGCGGAATTAAAAAAAGTCGTAATAAATATAGCCTATTTCACCGAGGGCTAATGTAGCTTTTTTCCAGCGAAAGATTTTTTCAGATCGGTTTCGTGGTTTCAGATAATATTCAATGCAAACAAAAAGACAATCATATATTTCCTCTTTATAATATTAGTCTAAGGTTTAAATGAACATATTTTCATTTATCTCTACTGTCTTTATTGAATGGAAATAGTTAAAAGGATTTATGATCAAAAGGCTCGCTGTTATGTGTTATTATTATCGAGGTTATATTATTTTTCTGATAATATTGTTTGGAAAGGCGGGAAGGCTTTGAAGTGTCGCGTTAGTTGATTTATTTGCAGCTAAATTGGTTGAACGGTGCAAAAGTTAAGGCAAAGCTTTTGTAAAAGCTATATATTGTATCTAAATTGTTTTTTTTTACAAAAATATTATCGAATAGTCATAATCATACAATAGTCTTCAAAAGAAATGATTTTTATACGGCCACCTGGTTTCTCTAAAATAGCGAAGTAATGATGTCCATGGACATTCGCGGACTACTCAGTAGTAGTATTAACAGTTTATTTAAATGTAAATTATTCATCTACGACTAAAACCATGTAAATTCTGCACGTTTATAAATCTTACTAATATTATAAATGCGAAAGTTTAGAATCATCATCATCATCATCATCAGCCTAAATTAGTCCAATGCTGGACATAGGCCTCTCCCATGGCACGCCACTGAGCACGATCCTCGGCCACTCACATCCAGCTCTTGCCAGCTGCCCTGCGAAGATCATCGCTCCACCGAGTCTGAGGACGTCCTACACTACGTTTGCCGACCCGTGGTCTCCACTCAAGAACTCGTCTACTCCAACGGTTATCGGTTCTTCGGGTTATATGGCCGGCCCATTGCCACTTCAGCGTGCTAATGCGGTGGGCTATGTCGGTCACTTTGGTTCTCTGTCGGATCAAGAAAGTTTAGAATGATGTTTGTTATTAGGTATCTTTAGAACAGCTAAATGGATCTCGTTGAAATTCGGTATAGACGTAGAATAAAGTCTGCAAAAATACATAAGGGACAATTTTTTTTTTATTAATTCGACGCTGAAGAAATCTTGAGCAAAGGCAATATATAGCCTGATACTTACATCACAAATTCTAATAAGATTTGACGTCTTTTCCGCAGAATTTTGTTGCTCCGTCTATAATGGCAGTGTTATGTTGTTTTTACAGTCGTTTCCATCTGATAACAGCTGTAGGATTTACAAGTCTTA